ATGGAATCGTTTGTGTAAAGTGGGTAGGAATTTGGATGTGAGAGATGTTATCATCTATTCCAGGAGAAACTCAGAATTTGTCCAGTTGGAATGTGCTGAGTTTGGCAAATTCCACATTTGCATCATAGCAGTAATAGGCATCTCTGTTTCTTTTAAATGTCTCATTTCCTGCTTTGCCTCTGCTGTTATACAAGATATTCTGATGAAGACCTTGAAAATTCTTATTGCGGAATTGTACTAGAATCACATAAACTCTCTTATCTTCACTTTAAATTACCAAAGTTCTTTATTATTTTATTCTTGAGAAAGAATATAATAATTATGATCATCATAATATGCTCCATTATCTACCACTTTCTCTCCAAAAATAATAAAATGGTCAGGATCTAGGCTTATGATAAAATACAGCCAGCACAAGTCTAGCCTGAGGTAATAGTATGAAGTATGAGATATGAAGTGTGTACCTTATATAAAGAATATGGATAGTAGACTTGAAAAATATTATTTTATGAAAGCAAATGCAGGCCTTAAGTTCAAAACCAGCCCTAACTAGAAAAAGCTGAATCAAAACTCCAGTACTAAAAGTCTTTCAGTCCTAAAAATAAAACTGCACAATCTTGACACATATCAAGGACATTCTACACCCAAACCAGTTGCAGTGAAGCAGGCATGAAATATCTTTACTCCCCTATTCATCTTAGTCCTCCCGCAAGCAACTTCCCCACATCTAGTGAATACCAGCGTACTGAAATCTTTGGCGAGGCAGTGGCATGCTGAGCTGCTGATCACATTGGGCAAGTGCCAGAGAATTATTGCTCAGCTCTCAATCTCTGCATGTCTCATGCCTGAGGGCAGAGTTCCCTGTCAGAGGTTTCTTTGACAGGCACGTTACAATGTAAATCTTTGGGCCTTAGGCATTTTAAGTGGACTTTAATTTTCCAAATCATCAAAGCTACTTATATTCAAAGAAGGACTCAGTGATGATCCCATTCTCCGGTGGTAATGAAATTCAGCAAACTGGTAGCATTTCATGGCATTTTTCCGTGTTTACAGTTTTGGAAATGAGATCAGAATCAGGCCTTGACAGTCTTTTCCCTTCTCTACACTTACTCACACAGTAATTAACATGAACCAGGCAAATGCTTCCTTGGCATCAGACTCTCACGTCAAAAGCATCAAATCTGTGATTTCACTGCTTGCTCATGCACCCAGGACTGTGAGGGGAAATGGGCTTTATTCAACAATTAATCTCAAAAAGAGTATGATGAATACAGTAAATTGCTTTTCTGCAAAGGCTCTTTCTTTTCACACTCTCCCCTTCCTTTCATAATCTTTACCAAAGAAAGGGTTATATATTGGCATTACTCCTCTGCTCAAGCACATCAGCACCACCAGAATCATACAGATGAATCTACAGCCTTCTAAGGTAACAGCAGCATGTAGCTAGGCAACAAAAAAGAGTATAGTATTTTTCAGGAAGGAGGACTTTTCTAGATGATCTCATACAGATGCAGTACTTTTTTGCCTTATAAGAAGAAAACGGTTCATTGGACAAATGGGTCTGTCATCCTGTCACCGTCCAGTATGGGCTTCCTTTGATGAGCTCTGACAGAAAATAACAATGCATTGTATACTGTTCCTATTTATTTCTCTATATCTATTACATGTTTGTAAGGGTTTTTTTATGAAGACAACAACCCACAAACGATTTTATGGCAAATTTCATTAACCGTCATCCTAATTAAAATGGAATGCTTCAATAATTACCAAGTCAGCTGAAATAAATTGTATCTCAGTTCAGCTGAAACTGTGTCAGCTTTAAAAAAGAGATTTTGTGAGTGGAAAAGGTACTGTTGTGTGTACAGTCCATCACTATATGTAGGGTAGAGCTGTTTTTAATGGTGAACACTTATTTTATGCTTGTACAGGGATTCAGTTAAGTGTGAACCAAAAAACTGATGTGATCTAGAATCTGCAGCACAGGCATTGATGCCTTGGTGCCCTAGATGACGGTGATGAACCCGGCAAACAGAGGATGATGGAGGTGCCAGGCCAGCTTCTGTGCTTTGGAGGGACTCTTGCCAGCCTTGAGAGGCAGCAGGAGCTCTGAGACGCTGGATGAAAACATCTTCCCTTGTTCCCATCTGGGTTTGTGCTGGCCAGGTGTCAGGACAGCCACTGACCTGTGTGAAATCGTAGCACCATCCTCTGGGGTGCTGTTATCAGCCCCTGAGCCACACCAGGATTCGCGATATCGGCTCATGATTTCAGCTATCCTGTTTCCCATTTCTCCTATATTCCCTTTTCTGCATCTTGCTAATTTGACAGTTTGTCTGTACATGCAAAAATGTATTTAACTTAAAGAGCTTTCAAATTTTGTTTCCCAGTCTGGGTGCAGCAGGGCAGCCTGTGTGGCTGGGACAGGCCATGCATGGCGCTGGCAGGAGACCTGCAGGCACCAGGGAAAACATCTGTCCTGGAGCAGGGCACTCTCAAGTCATCGGTGTTTGTGCATTGCAGTTTCTGTGGCAAGTATTTCTTCTCTTCTGGTACAGACCTGAATGTAACTAATCAGAGACATTACATCACAGTCTTGGCAGCTTTCGTGTATGTATTTCCTCTCTGGCATGTTATTTTATTTGTGTATTCCAGAGCCTGTTCTGTGGGATGGCTTCCATTTTTCCCAGCTGGACCAAGGCACGATTCATACCATGTTGTCTCTTTCATCTTGTCATTCTTCATGGTGAAGCACAGATTGCCCAGTTAGGCCTACAAGCCAAAAAAAGATGCAATTTATTTGTAGTCAGGGAAAGACTCAAGCAGCTTTTAAGAGGATGAAGACCAGATCGCAGTAAAATGTTAGAGGGAGGTACACTGTCTTTGTAACATTCATAGCAAAGCTCCTGCGGTTTTAAGTATTAGTAGAATATTTTGCAAGTGTTAAAACTTATACGATACATTAACTGATGTGTATACAATTTGCATCTATGCTATATTGTTTATTTATTCAGCCATGAAATGCAAAAAACTATTAATTATATGACTTGGTTACTGTGTAACTATATCTTCTATGGAGTTAAGTGCTGGGGCTACAGATGAACTGTAATGTGTACACACAAATGGCATATGCCTTTAAGGCAGTTATGATTGAGGTTAAAGCTGATAAAACATTTTGTTTGAAAATATTAACTTGCAGTTGTTTTACAAGGAATGGCCCAATGTTCTTCTAACCAACAAAAATAAATGTGACAAGAGTCCAACACTTCTATGCCAAAAATATAACCCAGAGTATAACCTCAATTTGCAGGACCACACCCAGAATGGTGAGTTTGAAGGGGAAGGGGAAGAAATTTTTTAAATAGCAGCTCCTCTTTCAAGCTCCTAGTAAATTCTGTCATTAGTAAGAATCATTAATAAAGTAGCCTTTAATGGGGCCTTTACATTACTGATTTATATTTCAAAAAACAGTGTCTAAAAAACATTATTGTGAAAATAAGTCAGTACTAATTTGAAGAGAAACTGTTTATGTGACTCAGTCCTAATCATTATTTTCTGTCTACCTCAAAAGTAATTGTGTTTTTAAAAGAGTTGGCTGCAGTGTTAATGAAACCATTTTCTGATTTTCAGTAATAAAACTAGTTTTGTTCTATTAAAACTGTTAGGGAAAAAAAATGGAATCTATTGTCATTTATTGTTTTTCTCTGCAAGCATTTCAGACTACATGGATGATTTATTTGTCACTTTGCAGAGGAAATAAAAAGTATTGCTGCTTAGATACCTTCATAATCCTTAGACAGAGCATGTGCCAGCTCTTCCATTAGCAAAAGTGTGGAGAAATCAAGCTGCCAGGCATCCTGGGGTTAAGCAAGCTCCTGACAATCTACTGAGGTTATTTTGGTCAAAGCCATGTGTGCCACATCTGATGGGAACCCAGATGAAACTAATTTGTGTAGATCAGGAAAAAAAGTGCTATGATAAACCATCATCTCAAAGTTACATCAAAATAATGGGGAGGATCATGTTGAGCAGAGGGAGTTTGGCAGGGATGACTTGCCAGTCACTTGGGTCTCCCTGCTTGGTTCAGCACGGACACAGGTGCTGCCCGCACTCTGGCCACTGCACTTACGATCTGGTGAGGTGTGCATCCCCCTCTGTCAATATAAAGCATTAGTTTTCCATAAATACTTGTCTTGATCCTCCTGTCTCCTGGTGCTGTTGGTGACTTACCTGCGGTGGGACAGCAAAGGCTTTCTTCTTACCCGCAGCAGCGTGAGGGCACTGGTGGGATGGGATGAGCTGTGCAACAGCCCGGGAAGAGACAGCGGAGGGGGGACCACGCTGTGGCCATGCCTTGGCTGCAGGCCCCACGGGAGAGTCTGCTTCAGGTAGTCGGCTTGTAGGGAACAAGGAAACCAGAGGGATAGGGGATGTCTAGCATAAGGCTTTTCACCCTGCAATTTGGAGGACAAAGCCTTCAGCATTGTAGAAGCTCCCTGTTCGCTGTGTTGCCACAGACAAGGCTAGTGGTACCACAGTGAGGTGGTGTACACCCCTGACATTTCCTTCCCTTTCCCTTCCTGGGCCTTCCCAAAGCTCCCAGGCAGCAGCTGCTCCCCGTTTCCTTGTTACATTTGTTCCACAGACTTGCTGGAAATTAACTTCTGCTCTGTTCACTCCCTCCAGCCCTGCGTGGGGAGCTGAGCTAATGACAGAGACCAGAGACTGTTTTAACTTCTGTACTACAGAGGACAGCCTTGGCATCTGAAGTTTGTGTGTGCTGCAACAAGATGCTGAAACGCAACAAAACTGATGCAACAGGTGGCAAGTCACTCAGTAACCCGGAGTGTGTGGAATGAAGCTGGGAGAGCAGGGTCCAAACAGCCAGCATGTTTTTATCACTGCAGACAAGGCTGCTTCTTTGATCCAGAAAGGAAAGTTAAGGAATGGAGATAACCTGCTGCAGGATGCAAAAGCTCTGCACAGGTAGGACATGAAAGAAGAAATGTATGGATTGATAGTAAGAAATACATAAGAAGGTTACAGAATGTGATAGTGTAACTTCTGCAACTAGCAGTGTGGAACAAAATGAGGGTTCTGCTATTTGTACGTTTTGTAAAATGTGTATTTTTTAGCATTTTGTGGGAAAGTATTATGTGCTTTCTATTAAATGTTGCTGGCAAATGGTTGTGAGACACATCAGCAGACTTAAACACACAGGTAATAACCTTCCCCTGGTTTTACTCTCTTTGCCGATACTTACCTTTCCATAGTAACATTTGAAAGATTTTTCTATAAACTTTTGTTTAGGGAAGAAAGTTTACTCTGCCACTTCTTCAGTCTGTATATGCCAAGCAGTGCATTTTGAAAAGGAAGGGAAAGTGGCATAGTTGTCTGCTTGACAGGCTAAACGGAAATTTTTTTAACAGCTATAAAAAAAAACCCCATTGTAAAACATGTAGTTTATAAATCAAAGCTTCAGAGGGAGATCTTTATCAAAGCACTTTATTGACATAAACACTTCAATCTTAAGCATGGCCAGAAGACTGAAATATTTTTTTTTAACAGTTCCCAGTGTGTGGTACACAAGAAATATTACCATTAAAGTGTGAAGTTCTTCCATTAAGAGTTTAGTTGCATCTTTAGATACAAAGCTGCTGAGCTGCTTCCCTGCCACTTGTGAAATCAGGGGATAAACAGCCTTCAGAAGTTTCAGCTTGTTGGTACTAGGCAGCAGTGGCAGTATGGGAGCAGCTGGGAAGAGGGAGCAGGACTGTGTGGACAGGCCCAGGTATGCGCGCTGCGCTGGAAGCCCAGATGCACCGTGTCGGTCCGCAGGCTCAAACACACGGCAGGTTACTCCAGTGCACAACACGCCAGCTGCCCTAGGGAGCTCCCCGTGCAGTGTCTGCAGACTGAGAGTAGTGAATGCCATTCAGCCACCCCTGGAAGGCTCTGCCCGGAGCCTAGGAATGTGAAACAGATGTCTGCTTCTGGCATTGTTCCTGGACTTGAATGAGGCTGTTTGTATTCAACACAGCTGCTCTAAACAGTCATAGTTTCTGATGGAATGTGTCCTATTAGAAAGCATTCCAGAGGCTAAATTTAGGGGTAGCTTTTTGGAAAAATAAGTCTGAAAAGAAGTATTTGTAACAAATTAATGTGTTCTTCTCCCACTTAATCTCCATATAGCAGGAGCCCAGGTAATGATCATTAAAACCAGGGAATGGAAGACTTGCTAGAACTGATGGTACATTATCATTCAGCAAATATCCAAGCTAAGGGAGCCCTGTACAGGAGGAGCTGTGATCTTCAGCAAAGTGGTTGTCCTTACTGTTGTTTCTATCATCTCATAACATCCACATCACTTGAAGAAATATGCCAGATATAATGTAATAGAATGCTCCATCCTTAAACATCAGAAGCCAGACCTTCCCTTTGATATCCCACAATAGTCCCTTTACTGGAAAGTCATCCCCCAACTACAAACAATTTCTCTGAGAAGGTAGATGGTGCAAAGTGGACTCGCAGGGTTACTGTGTACAGTGTGCTTCACAAGTCAGGTGCTAACATCCCAATAAATTATTTAACACTATTATTATGTAGTGGTGAAAGCCCAGCGGAGATACAACAAAGCATAAATTACTGATCTGTTCTCTATTTGGAGTGCAGGTTGAAGCAATCTGTTGGCAGCTTAGTCATCCTTCTGTTTTCCCCCTGGTACATATTTGCATTCCTTTCTTCCCCAAAATCTGTGAGGGCAAAACTTATTTTCTATTAAAAAACCCCAGAAGACAAAATCAGTCAACCAAGCATGTTGCCTTTGTGCTGCCTGCATGCACTGCCATGGCTGAAGTTTCATTTGTGGTGTGGATGTTGGAAATGTCAGAACTAATCAGTTCAGTGATTCAGCAAGAGAAGCAGAGATGAGAGATACTGTTAACAGCTGGGTCATTCTGCTCGCTTCCCGATCCAACATGAATATTGTCTTTATTTACAGTTTCATTCATACATCCAAACAAGCACTGATCATTCAAGGGATGCTAAGCCAAATAAGCAGCCTAAGGCTTTCTGCAGTTGGCTTTCCGCAGAAGCCCTCTGAAATTGGGTGCCTCATTTCTGAAATGGGAAGGTTTGGATTTGTTTCTGTCCTGTTTTGCTGTGTGACTTTCAATGACTCCCTTTGCTCACCACTACCTTGGTTTCCTCAGCTGCTCAACACAGACTAGACTGGACTACTAGGCTGTGGTCTACATAGTGTTCACAAGCTTCAACATTTTTTAAATAGCATCTGAGACCCTCCAAGAGAAAATACTACTGAAACATAAGGCATTACCATCAAACGGGTAAGCACAATCTACTTTTTAAAAAGTGTATTAATTATTCTCTAGATAACTGATGATGACGAAGGTAATATTGCATGTGTACAGGCACCGAAGTATCTGATAGGATTTCTATAACAGGTTGTTCTTCCATGTGGTCCATCATTAGAAACATCTTTTATAGAAGTTCAAATTAATTCTGGAAATCTTAATTATTTTTTCTATTGTCCATTTCTGCCAGACAGTAGTTCAGTAAATGTCACATTTCCCACACCAGAAGCACAGGCTAAGTATTATTATTAAATCTCAATACTTCTAAAGCAAAACTTGTCCTTTAGCTGTCACAGTCTGCCAGGAAAGTCTTTCAGCAGAGGGTAGCTAGACTGTACTGAAAACTACAAATGACTCTCTCTCTCCTATATTCTGGCAGGTGCTTAAAAAAACCCCCAACCCTACCTCAAAGATACTGTATTTCCTACCACAAGTAATGAGTAATTAAAAATAAATCATGTTTTATACAGGTCTGAAGAGCCCTCCATATTTGGCTAATCCAAGTTAATACAGAAAAACCTAGGCAGATGATTAGAAGTGTTTATACTTACTGCTCAAAGGTGTTACAACTTTGCACACATGAACTTACACAGTTTTTGATGTCTGAAGCTAAAATTATATTTGCAGTCCAAAACAGTCATACGAATGTAAAGATTTTAACTGCCATTTAGCTTGGTGTACTTGTGAAGTCCCATGTGCAAAATTCACTTCTAAAATGCAGTTTATATTTAATTTTGGATAGTGAGAAACTAGTTAAAACCGGGTTGAAACAAGTTTTTTTTAAAGAAAAATCCTACCTATGCCATGACTAATAAAACTTAAAAGTTAATATTCATTATACTTTTGTAGTTGCCTGTAAGCTAATTTCCAAAATAGGTTTTTTTGCATGAGTAATGAAACTTTTAAGAAAATCCAAGTGATTTTATTTTGCTCATAGATACATGTATAGTGTAACAGCAGCATCACCACTTACATACAAAATGAGTTTAACATAGCAAAATACCAATGTGTCCTCATCGGGCAATTATGATCGGGCAGACAAACACTGATTCACCACTTCCAGCAAGTGAGAGTTTTCCAAAGCAGCTGCTACACGTTCTTTATCAGCAAGCTGTTTATTAACTGTGCCAAAAAAAAAAAATACCACAAGAAACTGGTCAAACATTGGTATACAATGTCTTTTTTAAAGTATCTTATGTTGAGACACATAATCACACTGCTGCTATGGTATGCAGGTAGACTAGTAATTCTGTGGATGCTAAATTCACTGCAGGGTTGCAGTCTAAGGTGAAAGCTAGCATGTTATCACAAGTTAAACCAGCGAGCTGTTTATGGTTTGGTAGCAGGGAGCTACACATGTGTAAGTTTAACAGAAGAAGAAATTTCTCCCCAGCCTCTCACCATTTTCTGAGTCTTATATAACCCAGGCAAATCAATGAGTAGTTGAGAGTACAGGTTGCCTGAGGAGATGTTTCAAGTACAGTACAGAACATACCTAAGTGTCATTATTACACATTTCTGTTCTGCAACATCTCCCAGAAGCTGATGCACATAAAGTCCCAGACACTAGACAGCTGTTCTGCAGGTGCAGGAATCTCCTCTCTAATTTTCAAGGTTAAAAAAATACAACTGCACAACAGAGCACTAAAAACCTTACCTGCATGCTCAGAGGCATGTGTTCCTGGTGTTATATGAACATCCAGCTTAAAAAGCATCACAAAAGAAAAAGGGGACAAGTCAACAAAACATTGGAAGTTCAAGTTCAAAATGTTTAATAAGACAAAAACAGATAAAAAAAAGGCCATTCTTGCCAATATCAGTTACTGTATACGGCAGAATAAAGTCAAGTCTAACATCACAGAATATTCTGCGTTCTCATATGCTTAAGCCTTCTTCATGCAGGGGGTGAGGCACAACCTCTCCTCCTCCTGCGCCGCAGAGCACTGCGGGTGACTTCGCTCCATATCCCACTCACCTTGACATGACTGTCACAGAACTGTGATTCTGCATCGATATTTTAGTCCGCTGCCCTCTCTGGTTGCTGGAGTGTTTCCCCCATCCGCAGTATGAGAAAAGCTCTCGTATTTTTCACTGTAATTTAGCTTATTTTTTTGCCTTTTTTTCCCCCAACACAATTCCTGCCTTTTGCTTTCCAGAGTGATTTTATTACCTTAAATCTCTCCGGCAGAGATCTGATCAATTTTACTTTTATGGAGAGGCCGATTAACGTCGCCATGCTGCAGTGAGGAATGGTGGGAGTGAACTCCACCGCCACCGTGCTTTCTGCGTCATTCACCTGTTGAAAACCAAACATTTCCCATGTACAAAACGCACAGGCGTTACTGTCTGGAGGCAATTTATGTGAAATGCAGCTTGAAGCTGTACTTTGTAGCTTATAGTTTTCCTCGCTGACATTTTAAAACACTATGTTTAGCTGCTATTACAAACCTCTTAACGTTAGAAACAAAAAAAGTAAGTTCATCAGGCGGCAGAGGCGGCCCGACACGGCCCGGGAGAGCCGGCCGGACCCCGGCCCCGCGGGTTCTTACTTTCACTCGCACTTGCTCGACGACGTTGAGCTCCTCCAGGGTGAGGGGGTGCTCGGGGTCGTTAATGGAGCGGATGAGATGTGTCGCGTTAAGGAAAGCGGAGCGGAGCTGCCCCGACCTGCCCGGCCCGGCCCCGCCGCCCCGGCCCTCCCCTCCCGGCAGGATATCGAAGATCTCCCGGTCGTCGATGGAGTCGGGCAGCTCGTCGTCCTCCTCCCGCGCCGTCACGGGCCGCTCCCCCGAGCGGCGGTAGATGAGGGGGTTGGCGTTCTCCAGCGGC